TCTCCTCGCATAACGTGAGACTATTTCCTCTTGGCCCATCGCTTGTTCCGTGGGAGAAGACCCTGATCCCCCCCTGGCTCCAGCTCCTGTCAGGAGCTGTGCAGAGCCAGAAGGTCTCCCCTGAGCCTCCTTTGCTCCAGGCTCAGCACCCCCAGGTCCCTCAGCTGCTCCTCACCACACTTGTGCCCTAGATCCTTCCCCAGCTTCCTTGCCCTTTTCTGGACACCCTCCAGCAACTGACATGCTGCAGAGCAGACAGAGAAGATGTCAGGGCAGGAGTGACCTGTCCACACGACAGCCCTGCTCCCTGCCGAGATACTGGCCCCAAGAGGTAACAGTGCACGAGCACCGAGCTACAGCCTACACCAAACACAGGAGCTACCACCCACGAGGGCAGCTGCACTGCCCCCAGCACCACAGAGCCTCAAGGGAGGAGTCGGGCCTCAGGCCAGGCACTGGGCACTGCTCTGCCAGGGAGAGCAGGCAGCACAACAACAGCAGCTGCTTCCCTCTGGCTGGCACCGTGCCCCGACGCCAGCAGGTTAAGGAGCACTGAGAGCAGTAACAGCACAGCTGCAGGAACACCCCCTGCCTGAACGGAGCCCCTCCCCACCACCGTACCCCAATCTCCAGCGCCAGGTCCAGGTAAGGGTCGTAGGTGTCCGAGACGCTCTTGCACACCGAGCATTTCACTGCAAAAGAGCGTGTGATGAGCAGAGCCTGGCACAATGCCCAGCACAGCGCCAGCAGCTGCAGCGGATCCACAGCCTGGCAAGGAGGGGGCTGGCAATGCCACTCTGTGCCAGGACAGCGAGCGCTGCCAGGCAGCTGGCGACACCGGGTCCTTTGCTGGTGGCAACAAGCTGGGGACCCCCAGCCAACAGCTTTTCCCACCAGCACAGCAGGGGTCACAGCCCACAGGGACCAGCTGCAGCTGTGGATCTTCTACACGTGCTGAGCAGTTTTCCCCTCAGGTTTTTATCGTGAGGCTCTCAGGGGAACCCGGGGCCCTGCAGCCAGCACTCACCGCGGGACCGCAGGTAACCGCCGAAGATCTGGTGAACCAGCGTCGTGGCCTGGGTCTGGCGATCCAGCCTGGAGAGAGCAGCACCACACCTCACAGCACCCTCCGCAACACCCCATGGGACACCCCCACGCCCTCAGGGCAGCTCCCTGTGCGCTCAGCCAGCGGCCAGGCTGCGGGGCTCTGGGCAAGGAAGGAAGCCACGGCCTCTGCCAGGCTGCAGCCCCAGAGCTGGAGCTCAGGCGATGGCACCAGGCTCCGCTGTGCACGTTCCTCAACAAGGAGGAGGGACTCCTGGCTGGAGCACAGAGCTGGGCGCTGCAGACAGAGGCTTCTGGGACAGGACCCAAAGCCAGAGCAGCCTCAGGATTTGGGGACAGAACCACAGCTACGCTGGGCTGGAGGAGCCAGAAGGCAGGGAACAGCCCAGAGCTGTGTCACAGAGCAGCAGGGTTGGGCCATCCACCCCCGGCCCCTGGAGTCAGCACTGCTCTCTAGGAGTCTGACCTGGGGGACACGCTCACGCCACAGCCCCCTCCCACAGGCACTGGCCAGGGGACAGTGGAGAAGAGCAGCGAGAGGCTGCCAGGGCCCCACACACCTGGTACAGCCACTCAGGCAGGCCTTCTGCATGGCGTCGATGGTGTAACGCAGGAACTCGTGCGCATCCTCCTGTCTCCCAAAGCGGATGTTCTGGGCGATCTCTGCAGGAGAAGGAGGAATCAGCCCCAGCACGTGCTGCAGCAGATGCAGGCCTGTCTTTCTGCCCTCCCTCCCAGCAGGGGCTGCAGGGCTGAGCCCCCTTGAACCAAAGCAGACATCAGACTCACACCGGCCACAGGGGAAGCCCCACGCAGCCCATGAAGTCACCAGCTCCTGGCAGGCTCAGTGATTCATCTCAGAAGAGCCATCTGCCAAGACCTGCCCTGATCTCAAAGGTTCTGCTCCTGCATTAGTCATTGGTCTCCTGCATGGTGACAGGAGGGAAAGGGAGGGCAACCATCCTTACTCTTGAGGTCTCGGACGAAGGACAGCGGCTTTATTGCATTCCCACTGTTGGCAAAAGCCTGGATTATGTGGTTCTGCATAATGCACAACATGCAAAAGCCTCCTTGGTGACCTGGAGCAGGAGAGAAGACAGAACATCAGGGACAGACCCGGGAGAGATAGAGGCAGTACAGGGGATAGATCTCTGGTCCAACACAGCTCAGTTGTGCTCAGTCTCCCTTGCGATCTCTGTGCTACAGAAGAGCACCCCGGGGCACAGGGCCCAGCACAGGCCTGGTCCCAGTACCAGCTACTGCAACCCCCCAGGTGAGACAGCACCCACGTGGGCAGAGAGCCGGTGACAGGGACCCGCTGGAGGAGCCCACGGGTGGGGCCCGAGGGGCAGATCCCACTGGAGCCCCACGGATGGGACTGCAGAGCCTGTGTGCTCCCCTGGGTCACAGCTCGAGCAGTGCCTGCCAGGCTCCCTTTCAAAGTCCCCCTGAAGAGCACTGGCTGCCTGTGCACTGCCTTCTGCCCCTGCCCTCACGCTGTCCCCACGGGGAGGAGCTGCTCAGGACCCCCGGCTCAGCACTCAGGAAGGCAGCAGACCCCACTAGACCCATTTTAGTCCTGCATGCAGAGTTCCAGAACACCACTATGGCCAGGAAAAGTGAGCTGTACACAGGAGCGACCTCTCAACGGAGAGGTGGGCACTCGGGAGCAGAGAGGGCACGTCCTGGCACTCTCGGGAGCAGAAAGGGCACGTCCTGGCACCCACCAGCTCTTTCCCAGCACCTGGTGCTGGGGTGCTGGGTGCAGCACCGGGATGGGGACAGGCAGCTCCTGCTCCCTGGTCGCACCGTCCCGAGGGCGATACCCCCACTCACAGCTGCGGCTGTGCTCCTTGGACAGCAGGTAGTTGGCGAGCGGCGGCGTGTAGGTCAGGCACTGCACGGTGGAGTTGAGGAAGCAGGTGTTCCCCAGGTTGTGCAGCCCGGCGCCCACCCGGTAGATCCGCTCCCACTCCATGGAGA